GTTAACCTCTGTTAAACCTTTCCTCATCTCACTCTGTTCAGTAGCTAGCAGAAATATAAAGTTTATTCTTGAACATGAATCGGTTGCTGGTCCAGTGTCACTGGGCTAGCAACCTGATTTAATCAAGGATCAGGATCATATGACTGCCATCATGGTAGCATTAAATGGATCCCTGAGAGAGGATCAGATAACTACCATCATAGCAGCTTTAAAGGGATCCCTGAGACAGGATCAGATGACTGCCATCAGGTAGCATTATGGTTTCCTGAACGGGATCAAATGACTACCATCATAGCACATTATGGATCCCTGAATAGGATCAATAACTACCATCATAGCAGCATTATGGATCCCTGAGACAGGATCAGTTTGACTGCCATCATACAGCATTATGGATCCCTGAGACAGGATCAGATGACTGCCATCAGGGCAGCATTATGGATCCCTGAGACAGGATCAATAACTACCATCTTAGCAGCATTATGGATCCCTGAGACAGGATCAATGACTACCATCTTAGCAGCATTATGGATCCTGAGACAGGATCAATAACTACCATTATGGCAGCATTATGGATCCCTGAGACAGGATCAAAATAACTACCATCATAGCAGCTTTATGGATCCCTGAGCCCAGGATCAATAACTACCATCTTACAGCTTATGGATCCCTGAGACAGGATCAGAGACTGCCATCATGGCACATTATGGATCCCTGAGACAGGACAGATAACACCATCATAGCAGCATTAGGGATCCCTGAGACAGGATCAGATGACTGCCATCATGGTAGCATTATGGTTTTCCCTGAGCCCGGGAAATCAATGGCTACCATCTTAGCAGCATTATGGACCCCCTGAGACAGGATCAGATAGCACCATCTTAGCAGCAATTATGGATCCCTGAGACGGACAGATAACTACCATCTTAGCATATTATGATCCCTGAGACAGGATCAGAAAACACCATCATAGCAGCATTATGGATCCCTAAAACAGGATCAGATAACTACCATAAAGGCAGTATATGGATCCCTGAGACAGGATCAGATAACTACTATCATAGCAGCATTAAAGGATCCCTGAGACAGGATCAGAAAAACCCTACCACATAGCAGCATTATGGATCCCTGAGACAGGATCAGATAACTACTATCATACCCACATTATGGATCCCTGAGACAGGATCAAAATAGCAAACCATCATAGCAGCATTATGGATCCCTGAGACAGGATCAATAGCTACCATCTTAGCACTTTAAATGGATCCCTGAGACAGGACCCGATGGCTACCATCATAGCACATTATGGATCCCCTGAGACAGGATCAGATAACTACCACATAGCAGCATTATGATCCCTGAGACAGGATCAGATAACTACCATCAAAGCAGAAATAAGGATCCCTGAGACAGGAAATCAGATGACTCCCATCAGGCAGCAAAAATGGATCCCTTAGATAAAATCAGAAAAACTACCATCAAGCACATTATGGATCCCTGAGACAGGATCAGATAACTACCATCATGGCAGCATTATGGATCCCTGAGACATGACAAAAACCCTACTATCATAGCACACATTATGGACCCCTTTAGACAGGATCAGATAACTACCGTCAAAAGTACATTATGGATCCCTGAGACAGGATCAGATAACTACTATCATAGCAGCATTATGGATCCCTGAGACAGGATCAATAACTACTAACATAGCAGCATTATGGATCCCTGAGACAGGATCAATAACTACCATCAGGCAGCTTTAATGGATCCCTGAGACAGGATCAATAACTACCATCATAGCAGCATTATGGGTCCCTGAGACAGGATCAGATAACTACTATCATACAGCATTATGGATCCCTGAGACAGGACAGATAACTACCATCTTAGCAGCATTATGGATCCCTGAGAAAAGGATCAGATGACTGCCATCATGGCAGCATTATGGATCCCGAGACGGGATCAGATAACTACCACATAGCAGCTTTATGGATCCCTGAGACAGGATCAATGACTGCCATCATGGTACATTATGGTTTCCTGAGACAGGATCAGATTGGCTAACCATCTTAGCAGCATTATGGATCCCCTGAGAAGGATCAGATAGCTACCATCTTAGCACATTATGGATCCCTGAGACAGGATCAGATAACTACCATCTTAGCATAATATGGATCCCGAGACAGGATCAGATAACTACCACCCATAGCAGCATTATGGACCCCCTGAAACAGGATCAGATAACTACCATCATGGCAGCATTATGGATCCCGGGAACAGGATCAGATAACTACTATCATAGCACATTAAGGATCCCTGAGACAGGATCAATAACTACCATCATAGCAGCATTATGGATCCCTGAGACGGGATCAGATAACTACTATCATAGCAGCATTATGGATGCCTAGACAGGATCAGATACTACCTTTCATAGCAGCATTATGGATCCCGAGACAGGACAGATAGCTAACCATCTTAGCAGCATTTATGGATCCCTGAGACAAGGATCAATGCTACCATCATAGCAGCATTATGGATCCCTAGACAGGATCAGATGCTACCATCTTAGCAGCATTATGGATCCCTGAGACAGGATCAGATTGGCTACCATCATAGCAGCATTATGGATCCCTGAGACAGGATCAGATAACTACCATCATAGCAGCATTATGGATCCCTGAGACAGGATCATTGACTGCCATCATGGAAAGCATTATGGATCCCTTAGATAGAATCAGATGACTACCAAATCATAGCAGCTTTAGGGAAACCCTGAAAACGGGATCAGATAACTACCATCATGGCAGCATTATGGATCCCTGAACAGGATCAATAACTACAAACATAAGCAGCATTAGGGATCCCTGAGACAGGATCAGATTAACTACCGTCATAGTACAATTATGGATCCCAAAACAGGATCAGATAACTACTATCAAAGCAGCATTATGGATCCCTGAGACGGGATCAGATAACTACTACATAGCAGCATTATGGATCCCTGAGACAGGATCAGATAACTCCCAAATCATGGCAGCATATGGATCCCTGAGACGGGATCAGATAACAAACCATCATAGCACATTAGGATCCCTGAGACAGGATCAGATAACTACTATCATAGCAGCATTATGAATCCCTGAGACGGGATCAGATGAATATGAGATTCTACAAATTTGTATACGTATATAGATCCTCTAGCAGCCACCAATCAGCTTACTGTTTTGGTGATTGCAAGTCTTCCTGGTGAATATGTAATGCCCCAAAATTAATTCCCCTGGATAAGAAAGCAAAAGTTTAGATGTCTGAATCATTAGTAACTCAAATGGAAGCGAGATTGTTGCATTAAAACGATATTCACCAATATTCATGTTGGCCATCCTCGATTTCTGCGAATTCTGCAAAAATGTTCAGTAACCCGGGCCATTGTGGCATCAATGGATGGTTGATCAGGGCTCCCTAAGGATACAAAATCTTAAAAAAAAAAAAAAAAAAAAAAAACTGAAAATTATCACACTTGCGGGTTCACTTTCTTTGCGGCTGATACAATGCTTGTCTTCATTACCTCTTGTTACATATATCTTCTGTATTAGTTAAATTTCATGTTGCTGGCTTATTTGTTAGGGAAAACAAAGGTTTGTCGTCGTGATATGACCCGTTCACAGTGGCGGTGGTATATCAGCGACGACAAGACTGTGTTTAAGGACGTGTGGGGAAGATGGAACATTACTTGAGGCTGTTTGTGACAGACATCACAAACCCCTTTAAAAATTTATACCAAATTACAAAGTGAACAAGTAAAAGATCCCACACAAAAAAGAATCTTTAAGGCCTACAAATATCTTAACTAACTCTGCCTTACTGAGGGCTGGGTGCAAATCCCCCGAGACGCGAGTCGTGTCAATCATGGCTAAGGTGAAAAAAAAAAACACATTGTGAAACACAATTTAAAATATTTCTGGATTTAAATTAATAACAGGTTACAGTGTGCGTAATCACATATATTTTTTCTAATTATAAAAGGGTTTTACAAAAGCATCTAATTCTCCATACAAAAAGTTTGATTTTATTTTTATTCCTAACAATCCCATGATATAAACAGACTTGCACTTGTTTAATAGAACATAAAACTCTTATACAGATTAATATTTAGTCACTCTGTCAAGCGAACAACAAAGGCCTTGGGTTCTTGTTCACAGGGATAGGAGTGTTGCATGTTCCATGCTTCTTGCTCTTGAGTCCCTAGTCTTTCAGTAGGGACAAAATTGGTGCCCAAACAAAACAAAAGGGATGGAGCTCTTTTATTTAATGGGTACAAACAATGACTTTTCGAACTCAGAGAATCTTGAAAATGTAATTTGTTGAGATTGATGAAGCAGAAAAATGAACAATTGTAACATTCGACGCCATGGAAAACTAGTTCGGGTTTTTAAACCCACTGATGAAGACAATAGGGGAAAAAACGACGAGTGAAATACGCAATTTGTCGAAAAGTACGTGTAATTATTTTTACATTATCTTAGAGAGAGAGAGGGTAAAGGGGAAAAGAGAGAGAAGAGAAAAAGAGAGAGAGAGAGAGAGAGAGAGAGAGAGAGAGAGAGAGAGCGAGATCCAATACCCATTGTATTAGTTTAAGGTATAAATTTACTGAGAGATCAACAAACCGAAAGATAATTTTCCTTAGTAACTAATGAGCTGAGAGGTCGATCAGTGTTTCAGCTGAGAGATCAGACATCTAATTAATTGAAAAAAAAAAAAAAACATACCACGGGAGGGTTGAACCCACCCGGGATGGTTTGTTTCAATTGTGCCATTCGATTTCGTTAGTCACAAATTTAATTGGATGAAAATCGATCATCTACTTCAATAATATAATCCCGCCCCGAGCGGCCTATCACTGGGGCAGACCCCTCAAGGGGTCACGTGACGTCCCGCCCACAGAGCGCAAGTATTTAAAAATCCAGCGGCGGCAGCGGACAACCAGTTCCCACAGGGAGACGCCAGCACACTTCCTCCCGCCTTAACATGAAGGTAGGCCAGCCAACTTTCAGGAAGGTATATACATATATTAAATATTTATATATATCTTCTTTCTTTCAAACCCCACACCGGCCGTATCCCACCGAGGCAGGGTGCCCCAAAAGGAAAACGAAAGTTTTTTCTTCTTTTACATTTTAGTAAAAATATACAGAGAAGGGGTTACAAGCTCCTTGCTCCCGCATTTTTGTCGTCTCTTACAACACCATGCTTACGGAGGAAGAATTCTGTTCCACTTCCCCATGGAGGTAAGAGGAATAAACAAGAACAAGACTAGAAAGAAAAAAAAAAACCCGAGAGGTATGTAATATACGCTTGTACATGATGTGCATGTGACCTAAGTGAAGTAAAGTAGCAAACGTCCTGAAACCTTGCAGTTTAGGGAAACAAAAAAAATACACCGCAATCTTACCATCATTAAAACAATTACAGGTTTTGTTTTCACTCACTTGCGGGACGGTATTTACCTCCCTGGGGGGGTTGCGTTACCAACCTACTACCTGGTTTATATTTTTATTTTATATATATTATTTTTAAATATATATAAATATTATAATATAAAATATATAAATAATATATATAAATAATTTTTATATATATATAAATATATTTTTTTACCCCAAAAATTTTAAAAAGGAAATTTTTATTGTCTGATGGGGAAGGTGGTGCGTATTTTTAGCTCTTGTGTATCATGGTTTAAACCAGTTCATCTATATACCCCGCTGTCTTCCCTTTTGAGTGAGGTATCAGCCTTTGTCCCCGAGCCTTACTCAGTTTCCGTCTTTTTGTCCCTTCACCATTTATTAAATTTGCTTTCACTGGGGTTTGTGTACGTTTTTGTGTGTGTGTGGGTGTGTGTGTGTGTGTGTGTTGGTGTGTGTGGTACTCCCCAGTTGTATCAGCTAGTTGGGTTTGAGGGGTCGAGTCACAGCCCTGCCCCCCCTTTTCGGCGTTAAATTCCTTTTCGCCCAAAAACTTTATCAAACCCTTCTTAAAGAAATTTTGGACCCGCCTTCATAACATTTCCCCAACTTTTCCACTTCCTGAGAACTCTGTATGAAGAAATACTTTCCTAACATCCGTATTCCCCCGCGTTTCACCCAACTTACCCCCTTGCTTCTCTGTCCATTTTGGGAACACCCCTTCTCTGTCCACCTTGTCGATTCCCTCAGATTTTTTTATTCGTTATCAAAACCCCCTGCTCCCTGTCCTCCATGTCCGGTCGTTTTTCTCTTAACCTCTCCTCGTAGGCAGCCCCTTAGCTCCTGGACTAGTTTGTGCAAACATTTTGCATTTTTCTCTACCCCCTTACGTTCTTGGCTAGGTGTGGGTTCCAAACGGGGCTGCATAATCCAATAGGGCCAATTTTACACGTTACGACCCGAACGATTCCCTTTTTGAGAGTCGGGAAAGCGTTTGAGTTTTCCAGGCGCCCATATGCTGCAGCAGTTATTCGGTTTTTGTGCCTTCAGGAGATTGCCAAAATGTTTACTACCCCAAAAAATCTTTTTCCTTGGTGAGTTTTGCTTGATGTGTTTGTGTGTGTTGGGGTGTTACTCACCTAGTTGTACTCACCTTTTGTGGTTGCAAGGGTCGATTTATGCTCCCGGCCCCTTCCTTTACTGTCTTTACTGGGGGCACTCAAACCCGAACCCTGAGCTTTATCATACCTCTGCTTAAAGTATTATGGACCGCCTCCCCTACATCGCTTCCCCAAAATCTTCCCCAACTACTTTTTTGAAAAATGAAAAAATGCTTTTTTAAATCCCCGTGATTCATCTGTGTCTTCAAATTTCCCAAATGTGTCCCCCCTTTTTGATGTGTCCCATTTCTGAAACACCTGTCTTTGCCCCCCCTTGTCAATTCCTCCGTATTTTAATGTCGTTACAGTCCCCCCTATCTCCCTGCCCTCCTGTCGTCAAGTCGATTTTTATTTAAACGTCTCCTCGTGGGACATACCCCTTTGCTCTGGGACTAGTCTTGTTGCAAACTTTGCACTTCTCAAATTTCTTTAGGTGGCTTTGGCTAGGTGTGGGATCCAAACTGGTGCGCATACTCCAAGTTTTGTGTGTGTGTGTGTGTGTGTGTGTGTGTGTGTGTGTTGTGTGTGTGTGCGTGTGTGTGTGTACAATCTATATGTAGTCAACTATAATATGGTTTACAGGTCGAATTCTAACTCCTGGTTCCCGCCTCTCAGCTTGCCGCATGCCATATCATCCCTCCTAGCCTCGTGGGCCATATCAAAACCTGCTCTTACAACTATGGATGGAGGCTGCATCCACCCACTTCACACCGTGATCAACCCACTACCCGACCCATCCCAGGAGACCTGAAGAATGCTTCCCTGACATCCCTTATTTCCCTTGAAAATTTTGTACGTTGTTATAATTCTCCCCTGTTCTTCTTGTAAGGATAGAAAGAGAGAGAGAGAGAGAGGATCGCTGAATACAAGAATAATCAGATCCATTTCCCATTTATATTTAAGTGATGCCATATAATAGTCAACGCCAGGCGCCATTAGTGACGATTATCCACATTTAAACTTAATTTAGATAATCCAGGAATTATCTTAAGCGCTCGCGTATACTTCAGCAGGACTTGTCCAGATGTTATTTTATAATCGGTGTCTGTTGTCGTATATTCCTTCTGTCTCACCACAGTGTGATTTACTAACAGGGTTACTCGCATATGCGACTTACAGGAAAAAAAAAAAAAGAAAAAAAAATATAAATAGAAGGGGGGGGGGGGGGGGGTAAAAAAAAATAAAAAAAAAAGAAAAAACAGGTGTTACGTACACACGAGGTGTTACCTATGGCAGGTATTACATAGGGAAGAGGTTGCTCACGATAGATGTTACATCAGGTGCTACTAACAGCTGGAGTTACTTATGATAGGTGCTACTTACGACAGGTAATATTTACTAATGACGCTACTTTTGACACGCGTTATAACAGTTGTTACTAATAACATGTATTATAACAGGTGTTACCAACGACAAGTGTTATAAAAATGTGTTACCTGTGACAAGTGTTACTTATGACAGGTGTTACTGATTTCAAAGGTAGATATATTGGCGATGTTTATTACTGTTATGATGCTAATAGTGATGGCTGATATGATAATGACTAATGATGATGACTGGTGAAAGCGGTGAGGATGACTGTGAAGAGTGTTGTGATGAAGGTGTTGACTACAGAGGTGATGATGACGAGGGAAAATGACTTGGATAAATTGGGTGGATAAAGCGGCAGACTGACAAAATTACGAAGGCCGAAAATGCAGATAAAGTCTAGCTGACTCATACGAGGAGAGGAGAGTACGACATAACACCATAACACCATAAGTACATTCAGTCATAAGTACGATGAAACAGATATAAGAACCGTCTTAGGACCAACAGGGAGAGTAAGAGACTACGGTGGTAAACTAAAGAAGAAAAATTTGTCGAACAGAGGCTGGCAGATATTTTGTAAGATGTATTGTAAGAAGAGTCGGGAAGTGTAACAACTACCAAAATTGAAAAAAAAGAAAGCTTTAAAAATGACATTTAAGGCAAAAGAAGACCTTTAATTGTTAAGAAGATTCACCTACAAGGAGCTTTTTATGACCTATTTGAAGGGAAGCCTCTTAAAAATAAAAGGTTACCCTTGTCAGATCACAGCCACAGTCCGATCATTAAACATATTCAACTGAAGATGGGACACCGTGAGCTCCAACCCGTAACCAGACGCACAAGAACTCAACCACAAGCGCATAACGCAGACTCATGACACTAGGTCTGGATGGTCAGTCACATCAAGAAGGTCAGTGTTCGCACTTGCGCCTACGCAAGGGTTACTTAAAGAGTCTGGAGCACAGTTAGAAGAGCTGGTAGGAAAGACCTCAGACAAGTGAAAGTCAGACTACAAAAGACTTAAAAAAAAAAAACACGGGAGACTGGAAGACGCCACAGCAGATCAGATCTTTTTAGTTGGTCGTGAACCGATCACCAGCCATTTATAATTCCAGTTCTGTATTCCATTTGCCCTTCATTTCCTTCTTTTTCCATAACTACGCACCGTTGAGCAGCATCTTCCGTCCCAGGTGGCCATCTTACCGATGGTGGTGGCGCTGCTGCTGCAGGCGGCGACGGTGAAGCTGGAGCAGCTTCCTGTCAGGCAGCCTCTGGGCTACACCATCAGGACTCCAGCGGTGCCCTTCACAGCCGAAGATGCAGAGTCCAGGAGGTTGGGTCCAAGCCTGAAGCACAAGGATCCCACCCAGTCTTACCAGCAGCCTGTACAGACCTACACACAGCCTGTTTCTGCACGTGTACAGACCTACAGACAGCCTGCTTCTGTCCCCGTACAGACCTACAGACAGCCTGCTTTTGTCCCCGTACAGACCTACAGACAGCCTGCTTTTGTCCCCGTACAGACCTACAGACAGCCTGCTTCTGAGCCCTCACGTACCTACACACAGCCTGCTTCTTCCCCTACAAAGACCTACAGAAAGTCTGCTGTAGTCCCAGCACAGACGTACCGACAGAGTGTTCCTGAACCTTCACTGATCTACCAAGAACCTTCACCAGTTCCTGCCCAGACCTATCGAGAACCAGCTTCTGCACCTTTACAGACTTACAAATTGCCTGTTTCTGTCTATGTACAGACCAACCGACAATCTGTTCCTAGCCATTTACAGAAATACCAAGAACAAGCACGTCCTGTACAGACCTACCAAGAACCTCCACTACGTCCTGCACAGACCTACCAAGAACCTTCACCAACGTCCTGCGCAGACCTACAAAGAACCTTCACCACGTCCTGCGCAGACCTACAAAGAACCTTCACCACGTCCTGCGCAGACCTACAAAGAACCTTCACCACGTCCTGCGCAGACCTACAAAGAACCTTCACCACGTCCTGTACAGACCTACCAAGAACCTCCACCACGTCCTGTACAGACCTACCAAGAACCTGAACCACGTCCTTCACAGACCTACCAAGAACCTTCACTACGTCCTGTACAGACCTACCAAGAACCTTCACCACGTCCTGTACAGACCTACCAAGAACCTCCACCACGTCCTGCACAGACCTACCAAGAACCTCCACCACGTCCTGCACAGACCTACCAAGAACCTTCACTACGTCCTGTACAGACCTACCCAGAACCTGAACCACGTCCTGCACAGACCTACCAAGAACCTCCACCACGTCCTGCACAGATTTACCAAGAACCTCCACCACGCCCTGTACAGACCTACCAAGAACCTCCACCACGTCCTGCACAGACCTACCAAGAACCTCCACCACGTCCTGCACAGACCTACCAAGAACCTCCACCACGTCCTGCACAGATCTACCAAGAACCTTCACCACGTCCTGTACAGACCTACCAAGAACCTCCACCACGTCCTTCAGAGACCTACCAAGAACCTCCACCACGTCCTGCACAGATCTACCAAGAACCTTTCCACCACGCCCTGACAGACCTACCAAGAACCTCCAGCACGTCCTTCACAGACCTACCAAGAACCTCCACCACGTCCTGCACAGAACTACAGACAACCTCCAACCCTTAAACAAACTTTCCAGGAGCCTCCAAAAGGTCCTGAACAGACCTACAGACAGCCATTAACAGTACCTGAGGAGATATACCAAGAACCTCCAGCAGCCCTTGTACAGACTTACAGACAGCCTCCAGTAGCGCCTGTGAAAAGCCACCAGGAACGACCACCAGCTCTTGTACAGACTAACAAGCAACTACCTTCAGCCCCTATAAAGACTTACAGACAAACATCAACAAGCCCTGTAGAGACCTACGGACCCCCTACACAAGCCCCCGTACAGACCTATCAGCAGCCTGCCACAGACTACATGGTAAGTTCACACTGTCTAATATTTTAAAATCATAATTAATAGAAAGAGTATAATGTCATAATACCCTGGATGGAAGAGAAATCACTTTAAAAACCTTTAACGATGTTTTGGTCCATCCTGGACCATTGTCAAATACACACACACACACACACACACACACACAACACCACACACACACACACACACAACACACACACACAAACACATATATATATATATATATATATATTATATATAATATTTTATATAAATTTTATATAATATGATAACTTATTGGCTAATAATAGCATATTATATTTTTGCATATAGAACAATAAAATTTGTGATGCCAATAATTTTCGCCAAACGTCATTTTGCCTTAAGGAAAAAAATAATTTCACTGTTGTTTTGTCTAGTAAAAAAAAAATTTATTTTATGTAAACAAATCTAAAATATATTAGTTGGGTTTGGCTAAAAGAAATTGTTATTGTTATAATAAGGTTAGGTAAGTTTTCTAAGATTCTTTTGGAGCAAAATTAAAAATTTTTACATAAACTTAATGAAAAAAATACATCTTTAAACGTATAAGAGAAAATTTTAGAAAGGAAATTAATTTTAAATGAGTTCTTGCTAATTGACCAGTTTTACATATTCGGCACGACATATATATATTATATATATAATATATATATATATATATATATTATATATATATATATATATAAAAATATAAAAATATATATATATATATTCTGGATATAGGCAGAATGGTGTTGGTTAAAAAGCAACGTGCTCTTCAATTAGGACAATAACATTTTACAATAAATTGCAGGAATGATTTTGAATAACGAATAAAATAATAAGTATATATAAATAATAATAATAATCTAAAATATATTTAGTTGGCTTTAGGCCCCCGAAAATAAGCTTGTTTCTTTTATATAAGTTCGTGACGCTTTCCTACGAGTACTGGTGCAAACTTACATTTTAACACCATTGGGGTGAAGAAATTCGATAACGTTTAACGGGTCCTACGGGAGTAAGTTGATTTTAAAGGAAAGGATTTAATCCGTCAAGTGGGTTCTTGCTAATTGACGCAGTTTTACATATTCGCCCCGACTCACCACACACCACACACACACAAATTATATAATTTTATTTATATATTATATTTATATATATATATTATTTTTATTTATATATTTATAAATAAATATAATATATTTTATATATATATTAACCTGATGAAGATAATGAGGAGGTATACGAATGGAGGGGGTTGTGTATGCGACATGTAGTCTTCAAATTAGGCATATTACATTTACAATAAGGGTAAGGAGATCGTGAATAATAATAATAATAATAATAATAATAATAATAATAATAATAATAATAATAATAATATGCCCCATCCTTACCGTGGCTTTCCGAGGCCCCCTGACAATATTCCTACAGCCTCTCCACTATTCAATACCCTCCATTTACGTTCCGTGACGCTTTCCTACCGTAGTACAGGGAAACTCACGCACCTTAACACCCTTCTGCCGCAGGCGCCACCGCACTACGACTTCCGATACACCGTGGGTGACCGGGATGCCTACGGGAGTCAAGTTGATTTCGGTCACCAGGAGACCCGTGACCTCGGTCACACCTCCGGCAGGTGGGTTCTGTCTTCTCTACCCTTCCCCATCTCTGTCCTTTGCCCTACCATCCCGTCCGTCTCTTCTTCCCGTTTTCTTCACCCATACCATCCATCTTCTCCGTTTCCCGCTCTTTCCTCTCCTTTGGTTTTCACTATGCAGTCCATACTGTGTGATGGAATATGACAGGGAAACACAGCTAATTTTTGTTGCTATTATTTAACTCTCACGACTTTGGCAGTAGCACATTACTGCTGTGTCCAGTTTTCCTAAATAAAAAAAATGAATAAGTAAGGAAGAGATAAATAAGAAGCTAGAGAAGACAACAATGTGGAGATAGATAGATAGATAGATAGATAGATAGATAGAGAGAGAGAGAGAGAGAGAGAGAGAGAGAGAGAGAGAGAGAGAGAGAGAGTGTTAGTTACCATTTTGTCCTAGGCACATGTCGATTAGACACTAGGCCTGTTTGTGTGTGTTTTGCTCCTTTTTTTTTTTTGAGAGGTATGATAAGGCTATCGAGGCTAGGAGAGAATGATTCTAGCCGCGACCAGCAAAGAGGCGAGGCCAGGAGCTGAGACTCGACCATTGCAACCACATATAGGTGAATGTGAGTGTGTGTGTATGTGTGTGTGTGTGTGTGTGTGTGTGTGTGTCGTGTGTGTGTGTGGTGTGTGTGTGTGTGTGTGGGTGTACGTGTACTCACTAGTTGTACTCACCTAGTTTAGGTTTGCAGTGGGTCGAGTCCAAGCTCCTGGCCCCGCCTCTCATGGACGCTAACTGGTCCTCTCCCTGAACTTTCAGCGTTATCATACCTTACTTAAAATGCTATGTATGGATCCTGCCGCCACTACATCGCTTGTGTGTGTGGTGAATGTGTGTGGATGGTTTGTGTGTGTGTGTATGTATGTGTGTTTGTGTGTGACTGTTTCTGTTTTTATTCAAAGTGTGAATTATTTATTTTCACTGTCAAACGAGAGATGCCATAGCCCATGATGATCCTTTTCAATCACTTGTTTCTCTTAGGCTGGAATACTGCTGTACATTAACATCTCCATACAAAGCAGGTGAAATCGCAGATCTAGAGAGTTGTACAGAGCTCCTTTACTGCACGTATAAGTTGTGTCAAGCACCTTAACTACTGGAACGCTTTTGGACGCACGACTTGTACTCGTTGAACGCACTAGGAGAGATATATCATAATTTACACTTGGAATATCTTGGAAGGATTGGTCCAAATCTGCACACAGAAAATCAACTCCCTACGAAATAAAAGACCTGGGCAGGCGATGCAAAATGCCCCCAATAAAAAGTAGGGGGCCCATTGGTTACAAATAAGGGAAAACACCATAAGTGTCGGGGCCCCCAAAACTGTTCATACAGCCTCCCCTCAAGCATTAGGGAATGCAATAAACCCCTGGCTGCCTTCATATGAGAGGAGCTGGACAGATACCTTAAAGTTCAGTGCCGCATTCAGCCGGGCGGTGGCTTCGTACGTTGGACGCGTGCGGCCAGCAGTAACAGCCTAATTGATCAGGCCCTGATCCATCGGGAGGCCTGGTCGTGGACCGGGCCGCGGGGGCGTTGATCCCCGGAATAACCTCCAGGTAACCCATGAGAAGTACAAAGCTCACACCAAGGGTTTATTTTCTGTTTATCAGGTAGTCAAGGGAATATGTTACTCTTGTTTTTCTACATTAACATTACACCGTGAAATTCACCTTCGGCTCAAAAAAAATTTCTTAATATAAGCCCAAACTGCGTCCTCAAATCAACACATTTATCCTTAACTACTATATCCAAACACAATACTCCAAATCTACATTAGTTTGTCTTCAAGCCTCAAAAGAACACTAGTGATGCCATTTTGAAAACAAACGTTAATAGACCTATAACAACAAATTACGTAGGCTATAGTGTTCCAAAATGCGTAACGTATTTATTCTCACTTGATAATTTCCCATTAACGTGAAAATAAAAGATAGAGGCTTATAACGAGTGTCAGTGCGGAACGTCACTCGTCCTCTTTAAAATACTGGTTTTGAACTAAGAAAAAGAACAGATTTGTTGAATCACATATACCTGGAGAGGATTTCGGGAGTCAACGTCCCCGCGGCTCGGTCTGAGACCTGGTTTCGTGGTGGATCAGAAAGAGATGCTGGATAAGTTAGCCATAGATGTAATTATGTCTAAGAGGGGGTTCCGAAACATATGTAGCATTTTGCCTAGAAGGGGAGTGGGCTGTTTGCGTGCTGGCCGCACGCAAACTGACGGACGAACCATAGCCCGGTTGGTCAGGTACTGATTTTAGGTGCCTGTTCAGTGCCTTCTTGAAGACAGCCAGGAGTCTATTGGTAATCCACCTTATGTATGCTGGGAGGCAGTTGAACAGTCTTGGGCTCCGGACACTTATTGTGTTGTCTCTCAGCGTACTCGTGGTGCCCCTGCTTTTCATTGGGGGAATGTTGCATCTCCTGTCGAGTCTTTTGCTTTCATAGGGAGTGATTTTCGTGTGCAAGCTTGGTACTATTCCCTCTAGGATTTTCCAAGTGTATATTATAATGTATCTCTCTCGCCCGTGTTCCAGGGAATACAAATCAAGGGACTTCAACAGTTTCCAGTAATTTAGGTGCCTTATCTTATGTCGTGAAAGTTCTTTGTACACTCTCCAGGTCAGCAATTTCGCGTGCCTTGAAGGGGGCAGTTAGTGTACAGCAGTATTCCAGCCTAGATTATCATTATTATAATCAAGGGGGAAGCGCTAAACCCGGAGGATTATACAGCGCCTGGGGGGGGGATGTGGAAGGCATTCAGGCTTAATTCGGGGAACTGGAGCACAGATCCAATTCCCTAAATCAAGAGCCCCTCACCAACATCAAGGAACCTTCCTTGAGGGGATTCCAGCCTAGAGAAAACAAGTGATTTGAAGACAATCATCATGGGCTTGGAGTCCCTGGTTTTGAAAATCCTAATTAGCCATCCTATCATTTTCTTAGCAGATGCGGTAGATACTTTGTGGTCTTTGAAGACGAGATCCTCTGGCATTATCACTCCCGGGTCCTTCATATTACTTTTCGCGCTATTGTATGGTTAGAATTTGTTGTATACTCTGACACAATTTTAATTTCCTCAAGTTTTCCATATCTGAGTAGTTGAAATTTCTCTTCATTGAACTTCATATTGTTTTGAGTGGCCCATTGAAGTTTTGGTTGATGTCCGCTTGGGGTCTTGCGGTGTCTTCGATGGAGGACACTGTCTTGGCAATTCGGGTGTCATCCGCAAAGGAATTATTATTATTATCAAAAAGAAGCGCTAAGCCACAAGGGCTATACAGATCCGCAAAGGAAGACACGGAGCTATGGTTTACATCTTTGTCTATGACAGATACAAGGATGAGGAATAGGATGGGAGCCAGTATTGTGCCTTTTGGAATAGAGCTTTTCACCGTAGCTGCCTCGGACTTTATTCTGTTTACTATTACTCTGTGTTCTATTTGTCAGGATGTTACAGATCCATCTACCAACTTTTACTGTTATTCCTGAATCACGCATTTTGTGCGCTATTACACCGTGGTCACAACTTGTCGAAGGCTTTTGCAATGTCTGTGTATACTACATCTGCATTTTGTTTATCCTCTATGCATCTAGGACCTTGTCATAGTGGTTCTAGTAGCCGAGACAGGCAGGAGTGACTTGCTCTAAATCCGGGTTACCCTGGGTTGTGTAATTGATTGGTATCTAGGTGATTGGCGATCTTGCTTTAGAACCCTTTCAAATTATTATTATAATCAAGGGGGAAGCGCTAAACCCGGAGGATTATACAGCGCCTGGGGAGGGGGGGATGTGGAAGGCATTCAGGCTTAATTCGGGGAACTGGAGCACAGAACCCTTTCAAAGATTTTTATGATATTGAATGTTAGTGCTATCGTTCCGTAGTTCTTTGTAATTGCTTTACTGCCACTCATGTTTTTAGCGAGTGTGGGATGACCCCTGTGTCCATGCTCCCTCTCCATAGAATGCTGTGGGAACGTGACAGGGGCCTTCTTGCAGTTCTTGATGAATACGGACTTCCATGAGTCTGGGCCTGGGGCAGAGATTTTTGAGATGACCAAATTTTGGGTTTCGTTCATAAAGAATTTACTTTGATTGTTGACCCTTAGTCTGGGCAGCGGCTCGCTGAACCAGAGTCGTTTTGGGACTTCAGTATCTCACTCATTTCTTGTATGTCATCTGTGTATGTCCCATCTCGCCTAAGCAGGGGCCCAATACTGGATTATTATTATAATCAAGGGGGAAGCGCTAAACCCGGAGGATTATACAGCGCCTGGGGGGGATGTGGAAGGCATTCAGGCTTAATTCGGGGAACTGGAGCACAGATCCAATTCCCTAAATCAAGAGCCCCTCACCAACATCAAGGAGCCCAATACTGGATGTTGTTTATTCCTTAGATTTGGCCTAAGTTTTTTTTTTCCAGTTTCCTTTATGGCTTTTAGTTCTTCCTGTGATTCTTGTCTCCTCTAAGATTCCTTCAGCTTAAGTTCGATACTTGCTATTTCAATGACCACTGCCTCTCTTCGTATTTCAGATATATTGGCCCCTCTCAGCAACTCTGCGATTCTTCGTCGTCTGTATAGGGAGCGTCTCACTTTCTAGTTTACATCTTCTCTTTCTCCATTGCAGCTACTACATCCTGCTGCCAGACTCCCGGGTCATGAAAGTAGTGTATTACGCTGACGAGACTGGCTTCCATCCCGAGTACACCTACGAGGGTGAGGCTGAGCTCGATCTTCCTCAGCTAGACCCTTTCCAACGGCTGAACACCTACGAGGGAGGCGCAAAACTAGATTCTCCGGAAGTGGATCGATACCCTCGGCCATCTCGTCTATATTCTAGCCCTAGTGAGAAATAGAAAGGCAGTTGGAAGAGATTAGGGAAGAGAAATTAGTTGATCCACAGCATGTAGGTCCTTAATTAAATTTGTTTCTGGCAGGGAGACGAGGCTGCTGATCTACCTGGCCTGGTGGTTAACGCTCTCGCTTCACACGGCGAGGTCTGGGTTCGATTCCCAACCAGGGTAGAAACATTGGGAGTGTTTCTTTCCACCTGTTGTCTATGTTCCCCATCATTAAAATGGGTACCTGGGCGTCAGTCGACTGGTGTGGGTCGCATCCTGGGACACTGACCTAATTTGCCCGAAATGCAGAGCATAACAAGAGTGTCTATATAGTAGTATGTCATTGTCAGCTAGGGCTGTATACCTTGTACATGCACTTGTAGTAAATAGATATATTATTATTAACCACTGACGTGGGCGAGTAGAAATTTGTGGTCCTCTGTAGGTGGAAATAGGTGGGTGCGAGTACGGTCAGTCTATTATTATTATAATCAAAAAAGCGCTAAGCCACAAGGACTATACAGTACGGTCAGTCTAGCTTTGGCAAATAGGTATATTAATTCCAAAGAATTCTGTCCAGACGTCCTAGCTTTCACTCATTCATCAGCAAGTACAAGTTTGTAGGACTTATTCTGTGTTAAGCAAGTTTTTATTCAGGTACACAAATAGTTATATATTATACATAGCATGCGTGTAGATTACCTAGGATAACCCCCCCCCCTCAAAAAAAAAAAAAAAAAAATTATTTCCATTAGCTTAGCAACTAGACCATCCAGGCCTAGCAGTTAGATAATCCTATGCCTTTCAATTAGATTACTTGCAAATATACCATCGTTTTCTGCTAAATTCCCACAAGACTGGCAAGAGCATTTCTTCTGAATCTTCAAAAACTTAAAGGGTCAGATTTTCCCTTAGTCATGCAAATATTGAAGGTTTAATAATTATTCATCCAAAAATGATTAAAATTATTTTCCTCGTGTTATTATTATTATAATCAAAAAGAAGCGCTAAGCCACAAGGGCTATACAGCGCTGTCCTCGTGTTGAAGAGTCGTGGGCGGGAAGAGCTGGCGAAAGAGACTTAGGTAGGCAGGCAGGTGGCCACCAGCGTCTGGCGTGGAGGTGGCCCTCCTGCAGGCCACCTCGGGGAGGACCTCTGGGGGGGGGGGGGAGTACCCCCTTCGGAAACTGCTGCCTCTGGCTACTTCCTCCACACCCATCAGCCTCGTCCCACCTCCTCGGAAGATAAGGGTTTCCGTTCGGATTTTTAACCCCGGAGGGTTTGCCACCCAGGATAACCCAAGAAAGTCAGTGCGTCATCGAGGACTGTCTAACTTATTTCCATTGGGGTCCTCAATCTTGTCCCCCAGGATGCGATCCACACCAGTCGACTAACACCCAGGTACCTATTTGCTGCTAGGTGATCAGGACAATAGGTGTAAGGAAACTTGTCGAAATGTTTCCACCCGCCGGGAATCGAACCAGGGCCATCAGTGTGCTAAGCGGGAGCTTTAGCCACCAGGCTACACTAGCTCATGACACCCGCCGAGAAAAGTGGATCAACTAGTTTTTCGCGGGAAATGGACGCTCGCTGTAGCCGCCATGGTAGCAAGGACTACGACCTACTGGCAGCCACATGGTTCAGTCCACCCTCAACGCCTCCAACACAGCAAAGACCAAAGACACTGGGGAGCCGCCGCAGCCGCAGCCGCAACCTCCCTAAGCACTAAGAAAGTCTGCCTAAAATCTGGTATCCCAACCACTGTTCGCGAGGACATCACCAGAACAGTGAGAATCATGAAAGTAGTCATGGCAAGAGAATCTACTACAGTACTCTACCCAAGACTAACCGTATTATAATAAAGCGCTAGACCGACCAGTGAGGACCAATTATAATCAAGGGGGAAGCGCTAAACCCGGAGGATTATACAGCGCCTGGGGGGGGGGATGTGGAAGGCATTCAGGCTGAATTCTGGGAACTGGAGCACAGTCCAATTCCCTAAATCAAGAGCCCCTCACTAACATCAAGGAACCTTCCTTGAGGGGAGTGAGGACCAAACAGATGTGCCAAAATAACAGCCTAAGTGCCGTTCTTAAACTTTCCCAACTATGTCGCAAATTCTAGTTAGCATTAAAGCAGGGAATCCACTGATAAGCATTATTTACAGGGGAATGTGTATGGGGAAGCACTAAACCCATAAGTTCTTAGTGCATGGAGAATGAAAGCCTGATCTGATCGATACTCCCCCCCCCCCACCAATTCCTTGGATAAAGAATCCCTTCAGCATAAAGGTGGTACTTTAAGGGCATCATATACCTATCTTATCCAGAAGATATACCTTTATAAAATAATAGCGTATACCAGTGTATTATGTACACAGTTTAGTTCCTATGATTAAAAAAAATTATAGTACAGTGTTCCGGTGAATGACAACCTCGTATATTAGGTTTTAATTACTATTAGTCACGGGGAAGTGCTAAACCCGCAGTTCCTATAGTATCTAGGAAATATAAGGCAAGAATGTTCCAGCAATGACGAAACAGCTTGTTCCAACTAATTTGACAGTTACCTTCAGCATCAAGACGCAGACGCGGGTTCATTAACGGAAACTGGAGAGTTTAGTGTTGACAGGGATCTGCAGTGCCTATGATATTTGTTTAATTTTATTCCAATGAAGTAATTTTTCCATTAACGACCTGTTGCATTATTATTATTATTATTATCATCATCAAGGGGGAAGCGCTAAACCTGGAGGATTATACAGCGCCTGGGGGGGGGATGGGGAAGGCATTCAGGCTTAATTCGGGGAACTGGAGCACAGATCCAATTCCCTAAATCAAGAGCCCCTCACCAACATCAAGGAACCTTCCTTGAGGGGACGACCTGTTGCAGAAAACTTTCGCTATGAAACTATTAGTATTATAATAATGGGGAGCGCTAAACCCGTGGGATTACACAGCGCATGTGGAGGGGAGGGGGGAGAGGGATGGAAGGTATCCAGGCTCAATCAGGGAACCGAAGCACAGACCTAATTCCTCAGATCAAGAGCCCCTCACCAGCGTCAAGGAACTTGCCTTTATTATAATAAAGGGGAAAGCGCTAAACCCGTAATATACAGTGCCTGTGGGGGAGGGAAGGTATTCAGGGAACTGGAGCACAAATCCAGTTCCCTAGATCAAGACCCCCTCACCAGCATCAAGGAACCTTCCTCGAGGTCTAAAATAAATTATAATGTATATACATATATACATCAAGACTGAGCTAAACTGGGGGATCACTTACGTTAATTACAGTATTTAACTTAAAAGTAATATACCCCAAAGCTTTATCTACAATTCAGATTTTGTTTGTCCAAACTTAATTGCACTGTTATTTCCGTTGCCTTCCCTTTCGAAGAATATTTATAATTATGACTAGGCGCGAAACCCATAAGGGTGATAGAGCTGTCAAAGGGATAAAAATTTAAAGTTTCAATCTTAATTTTGTAAAACTACCAGAATACAGGACTTTATTAAATGAAGCTACACTACCTAAAATAAATCTTCAGAACACTATTTGCTTTCAGAGGAAACTAAATTTAAAAAATAAAAAAATTTAGATAAGCTAAGAATTTTTCGCTGTATTTAGGAGTTAACAGCAGACATTTTGCATTAAACCTACATTAAGCTAAAAAAAATATTAAAACTAAACTGTTACTTTGAACTAATACAAAACAGGTACACAACTTGAGATTTAAAGTATTAACATAAGGAAAGTAGTCAAGGGGAAGAATAGGACAAGAGGTGGAGTAAAGTATAGGATAGGGCTGGTAGGAAGAGGGAACAAGAGGGGAGACGAGGTTGGGGCAATCCTGCTAGGGAGTAAGTCGTCTCGTTATATATAGGCTGGGACGAATAGCTTTTCACTTTTCCTCTGCTATTTTTCCCCTCCGGGAATAACGGCTGTTTCCGTTTCCTCCTCTTGCTACGCTTGGCTGGATTTTCTTATTCTCAGTATCCACTTCTTTCATCTGTTTTTCTGCTGTTCGTTTACCTGCTGCTTTGGTAGTCTCTGCTGCGCTCTGCTTTTTCTTCGCTTCCTTCTTTGTGATCTTTGTAGATTCTTTGGACTTCCTGTCGGTCATCTGAAAGTGGAAAAAATATATCAAGCTAATGTTTATAAAATATTGAAAGTGATTCATTACTCTCGACGCTAAGGGAGGAAATTTGACGGGTGGAAATTAAACAGGTCAACTCTTCCCCACTTCACTTGCATGAAGAACCACCCAGTAAAGACACGACACCATGACTTCAAAACTCGCCTGAAAGAAGCCTTTGAGACCAACACAGTTAATACTCTCTTTGTTGCGTTCAATGGTGCCAGCTTCCAGCAAACTGAAAATGGCACTCTTCACACGCAAGCGCACCCGAGACCATTTCTTATCCGGGTAGTGAACTGTGGAGGAAAGGAGAGGCGCTATTAACAAACTAGAAAAAACAATAAATGAAAACTGGTAAAGTAGTATTAGTTTCTCTACTTATCAGGAATATTCACTTTAAACTACAGGATTTAGAGCTGCGCCATGGGCCCTCAAAATTTGAGAAATAAAAATTAAAGGATTTTTTCTTGGAGCAATGTAAGTAAATGTACATTTCACGACGCTTTCAGAGAAAAAAAGTATATGGAAAAAATCTATTTACGGTAAATAGTTCACCTAACCAGAATATTGCACAAGACAAATACTGAAATACATTCCAAGCACATTGTAAATGCACAGAATTTACAGAGGTAAGAGGGGAGGGTAATAAACGAAGTCGCTTAAATATCAGAGCTGAAAATATTTAAAATTGAAACTCTTGCTCTAAATATACTTGTATAATGCAACTTTCCAATAGACTATCCACAAATAAGTAACAAGATCAATTTGAGTCGGGAAGGGACATGCGAAATTAAGCTGTCAAAGACTTGCTTAAAAAAGCCTAGTCTGTTAAACTTTTACACAGAAGTTTAAAAATTTAATGTACTCACTTAAATAATATTTTTTTATGGCGGCTATGGAGACTCCCTTGTTGGTGCCGGAGGAGACAGCAGCGGTCACCATGTCAGGAATACTGACTGCACCAAGCTTTACACTGTTACCTTTGCTTTCGTTTATTTTTCTCATCAGCAAACTGTCTCTCGCGCTGTTGCCATTTTCCTTCACAATAAAAGTCTTGCTCATCATATCTTTGGGATTTTTTACGCTTTCTAACTTTCCGTTTATTTTCTCTTTAGTTTCTTTCCTCTTCATTTTTGTATCTGTCTTTTCGATCTTTCCATTCAATTTGTTGTCAGTTTCTTCCTTACTCTTCAATTTGTTGGTCTTGTTCTGTCCGTCATTGGTATTCGGTATTTTATCAGCCTTTTCTACCATATTCTTTACTTTATCTGCTGTTGCTGTCTTGGTCTTCATTTTCCCAGCTATCCTCGAAGACTTTCTTACTATATCTTTCACTTCCTCTGTTTCTTCCTCTGTTTCTTCCTCCCTCTCTTCCAGATCGTAGTCCCTAAAATTCTCATCCACTTCAGTATTGTCAGCTTCTTCCACGCTTTCTTCCTCCTCTTCCTGCTCTTTACCTTTTATTTCTTCACAGTCTTCTTCCTCTTCCTCATCTTCCGTATCCTCTCGCACCTCCTTCATTAAAGTTTTCCTATCATTCTCGTCCCCGCTAAATTCTTCCTCCTGTAAATGAAAAGAATTTAGATTATAATAATCAAAGCGCTAAACCCATAGGATTATACAGCGCATGTGGGACGGGGGGGATGAAGGTATTCAGACAAGTCTGGGAATCTCGGCCCAGATCCAATCCTTGATCAAGAGCCCCTCACCAGCATCAAGGAACCTCTTGAGGGGAAAATTTATTATTTTCTATGCCTTTACTAAAATAATACCACTAAATTAATTTATAATGCAGGAATTTTAGCAATTTTAGCCTTAGTGGATTTCGCCCATTCTCACCATTAAGCGTTAAATGGCGAGAATGGTGCCAAGATGAGGGAGGGGGGGGAGAGGAGAGGTGAAAACTTTTGCAAGGTTAGCGCATTCGCGAAAAGGGATTTAAAAAAAAAAAGTTAGGCCAGTCCCAACATGCCTTAATGGGGCTGTTAGTGTACTAGGACTCCAGTGGAAACTGGTCATTGACTTCTGGTTTATCCTAGGTAATTTACAAGTTATTACGAATGATTAATCTACTTTTGTACCTGTACCAAAAAAAAAAAAAAGTGACAAGTTTTCCAGCCTAGAGGCAACACAAGACAGCTTGCACCGCCTCACATTAACTCGTGCACCCGACTCTAGTGTGAGGAATTCTTATAATCTTATCTAAATGTTAAACCCAGAAGTCTGAATGGGTATTCGTTTTGTAGCTTGAGAGCCCACATGCGAGAACCAATAAAGGACTACCACTACTGCATCAGAATTTTTTTTATGATGCTAAGCGCATTGGGAAGCCAGTTACCCAACACTCCAATCCCCTTTGACTCCTACCACCCCCTTCCATTACCCTCTTCAACTTCCCTGCCTTACACCCCCCTCTATCTTACGAAGCCTTATGTCTTGCATTATTAACGGACAAACAGGGAAGTTAATTCGGTGGTGGTACGGGACAAGGTGCTGGGTAGATTACGAGCCGGGGATTCCTCGTTGAACCAACGGGTGATGATCGTGAATTCGATTGTGTATAGTAGAGTCTGGGGAGTGGTAGCTGTTTATCCTTCGACGGCCTGTGACGTAACATACAGAGGCGGACGCTGAGGTATAATTGGGGATATGGACGGGCATGGTTGTGACGTGAGGTGGTAATGTCTGGGGTACGGGGGGGGGGGGGGGGTTAGGTTTGCTAGCTTTGGGACCTTGGGCGAGAGCAATACATGTACGGGCGTGTTACTCAAGACTGGGGGGGGGGGGACTAAAGGATGTAGCGTGGGGGAGGTTGGAAGAGAAGTCAGATGTTGGTGGCGTGGAAAGGAACTAGAGGCGTGAAGACTTTCTGCGATTCATGTTAAAAGTGAGAGATGTCCGTAGTATGCGCGTAGGAAGGCTGGTGAATGTAGGATTTCGGCAGGAAGTATTGTCAAAGGTGGAGATTTATCCCATGTATAATTGGAAGGTAATTTGGGAGGAATTCCGGCGGCTTCGTATACCAGCTAAGGCGCGTGAGGGTGTATAGATTTATGATGGGGATCCTGGCGTCTAAGGTAATGTTATGGAAAATGGGTTTTGTTGAGGATGCAACCTGCGTGCATTGTGGTGATGAAGAAACCGCTTTTCATGCAGTGCATTTTTGTCCATCCCTAGAAGAGGTAAGGTTGTGTATGAGAGGTTTCCGGGATATTGGGAGAGGGAGGGTGGCTATGTTAAGGGCGTTACTCCTTACATTCGCTGCCTGGATGAGGTAGAGTGCGGTCGTGCTTTGCACCCCTCTACTCTTTACCCAGACGAGCTACTCTGAAAATATGGCGCTAGGTGTGCGCCGGAGTGAATACTGTGCGCACTGAACTCATTAGTGGGGCTTTAACGCCTACATCATAAGAACATGAAGGAGGAACACTGCAACAGGCCTGTTGGCCCATACTAGGCAGGTCCTTTACAATTCATCACTAACAAAACATTTGACCAACCCAATTTTCAATGCTACCTAAGAAATAAGCTCTGATGTGAAAGTCCCACTCAAATCCAACCCCTCCCACTTTTGTACTTGTCCAACCTAAATTTGAAACTACCCAAAGTCCCAGCCTCAATAACCCAACTAGGTTTGTAGATGAATGGTTCAGAGAACCGACATGTTGATAAATTAGACACTCTTGCAACTCTTGGGTATCTTTGAGGAAACGTTTCGCCACAGTGGCTTCATCAGTCCATACAAAGGAGAATCTTGAAGAACAGGAGGAGAATGAGGTAATCAGTCCCTCAACCTTGAGTCGATGTAGTCAGTCCATCAATCTTGAATAGAATTCAAGATTGATGGACTGACCACATCATTCTTCTCCTGTTCTTCAAGATTCTCCTTTGTATGGACTGATGAAGCCACTGTGGCGAAACGTTTCCTCAAAGATACCCAAGAGTTGCACGTGTGTCTAATTTATCAACCCAACTAGGTAGACTGTTCCACTCAACTACCCTATTTCCAAACCAATACTTTCCTGTGTCCTTTCTAAATCTAAATCCATTACTGCAGGTTCTCCGAGATATCCTCAAGACCTTAATATCCCCTTTATTAATACCTATCTCCCACTTATACACTTCGATCAGGTCTCCTCATCCTTCGTCTAACAAGTGAATGTAACTTAAGAGTCTTCAATCTTTCATCATAAGGAAGATTTCTAATGCTATGTATTAATTTAGTCATCCTACGGTCGAGGTACTATTGCCCAAAATTACAAGAGAAACATACTGCATCAGAGACGAGGATTTATATGGAGTGGCACTAAATGGTGTTTATAAAATCTTCGTGAAAGTCCTAACAGCTCAAGTGTACGAGGCATTGGTGGATCGTTATCAAGATGTCAGCATTAATGTAACACCGGTAGTGAGGGTAAGGTTGACGGATGTATCAAGACATTCGTGGGTCAAGCTCCGCAACGTGCCTTTTGAGGCTGATGAAGTAGATATCAGAAGTGCTTTTGAAAGATATGGGACTGTACATCTAGCCCAACCTGGAAAATGGGAAAAAGGAGCGCAAGCTGGATTTCCTGAGGGTACTTTCAATCTCAAGACGACACAGACATCCTATACCCTCGTATGCATATATCTCGAGTTTAAAATCCAGGTTGGTTTAGAAAGACACGTAAGCAAACACTGACATTTATTAGAAAACGTTTCGGTCCTGGGACCTTGATCACTTCAAACATACAGAGCAAAAGCAAAGCAAACAAGTTCAGGTAAGATCCCAATGGGATGAGCAGGGAAGATGGGATAGATGAAGAATAGATCTGTAAAGTAAAACGACACAAGTGCAACTAATGTGACATTTTATTGTGGCAACGTTTCGCTCTCCAGGAGCTTTATCAAGCCATTACAAACAATACATGGACACAGAGGGTATATATAGGCTGAGAGTGAGGTGCAATACTAGTGAGGTACCATTTCGATGTGTAGTAGTAGTGACAAAATACAATATGGTAGAGCAATTAATTCATACACGAGAAAAAGGATATAAAAGCTATTACTTGGGTAACAAAAACAGGTTGGACAAATATAGACTGGAAAGAGGCAGCTTGTTTCAGTGTTCACTCTCTGTAATGTGCTTTGTGTAGTATAACAGGAGAGACTATGTGATGGCAGGGTTTACTGTTTTCAGGAGGATTCTTGCTAAGACTTCAGAGATGGTGAAACTGCCGTTGTTTTGTTTAATTGTATTCGAAACAGCGATCAGTGCTGATTCGAGGCACTTGCGTCTACGGAAATTAGTTTTTGATCACTAATTGGGCGTCTCTGAATTTCATGAGATGATTGGTGGAATTTCGGTGTTGTACACAGGCGTTGTTCAAGTTATCGTTCCTACATGCGTAAATGTGTTCATTGAGGCGGGTGTCGAGGTTTCTTGCTGTTTCACCTACGTAAATCTTGTCACAGCCTCCACAGGGTACAGCGTAAACTCCTGCATTGACTGGTTCGTGATGCTTGGATTTTGTTCTGGTTAGATCCTTTATTGAAGTGCTAGAAGCGATGGAGACTCTGGTGTTAGCTTGTGAAAGTACTTTTGAGACGTTCAGTGCAACCTGGCTGTTGGGAAGAATTATAACTGTTGGGAGTGGTGTTGGTGCGTGGAGAATTAATGATCTGAAGAGCTCTTTTCTTGTAGTCTTTGATGAAAAAAGAAGGAAAATGTAACTCAGTGAATGTATGTACATTCCTCGTCAAGAAACTCGAGACTACAAATTCGGTATGCTCTTAGGAAAAACCCGATGATGCCTCTTTTGGTCTTGGTATCTTGACTGGAATAGAAGTGTGCGAGATCATTTTTATTGGTGGGTTTCCGATAAACTTTAAATCTTAGGTTGTTTTCTACTTTGTGAATGAGGACGTCGAGGAAAGGTAGCTTGTCATTTGACGATCCAACGCAGTTGGATCGCCGGTTCAACTGCGTTGAGCCTTGCCTGAAGATCCCGTACATCAAAACATTTGGGAGTTATTACGAGGAAGTCGTCCACGTAACTTAACCAAGTGACGCTTGAAGGGATGATGTTGGCGAAGTGTTCGGACTCTAGGTGTTCCATGTATAAGTTGGCTAGGACGGCACTGATGGGGGACTCCATTCCCATGCCGTAGGTTTGTTTGTAGAGCTTATTGAAAGAAAAACACAGTTGAAATTAACAGTTCAATGTCAACAAAATCTCCGGGAGGTAGAGGAAGATTAAGGTCCTGATTGACTACGTCGTAGAACCTCGATGGCTTTTTTTGGTAGGTACTTTTGTGAAGAGGGAAGTCACATCCAAACTGCTTAGTTTCTTGTTACGGATGCAGAGGTTACGGATGCGGTTGAGAAGGTCGCCTGAGTGTTTAAGATGAGCGGGGCTGATGTCCCCAGAAGGCAGGAAAGATGTTTGGCAAGAACTCCGGCTAGTTTGTGTGGAGCACTGCCTATTCCTGACGTGATGGGTCTTTGGTAAACTATATATGTGTGCTGGTTTAGGGTGGCTTGGTAACAAGTACAGAAGTTTCTTCCCTTCACTAGTGCGTTT